TCAGATCAAGAGTTGAGGCTAAAAACAGTAGAGTTATGAGCATACATTGCTGGAATTGGCTGAGGAAGATAACTGATAGAGAGTGGGATATTGTTGCTGATGAGCGCTTTGTTGGTTGACATGTACGAATTTTGGTGGCAGCTCATTTGTGGTACTTGGATTCGTAGTAGGAATATTAACATTTGACTGAGACATTGCCGAGACGGGTTTCCGTTTCAGCGGAGACGAGGTCTTCATTGACGGTGATGGCAAAGCATTTGATGAGACCATTGCCTGTTGAAAGACGGCCTGGAAACGAACACTTATACTTGACTAGAAGTTAAAACTTTACACTTTGGGAATTCCAAAGCGAAAATGCTTTCAATCTGACGGCACAGAAACTCAATTCATCAACAAAAACTTTTTCAAATACGACCAAATTCATTGATAATGAAGCGCGATTGGTTTCAACACTATCTCTCACCAGTGACAAACGATATTAACTGAATTTATACGGTATTCCGTCCAATTATACAGGCAAAATTAACAATATTTAACAATTATTACGACTACATGTTTCCGGATGGCAGAGGTTTCAAATCCATTGACAGCGATTCTAAGATGTATTGTAGGTCAGTGAATTGCGTTGACATGCTAGCCTTACTCTAGCTTGCTTGACATATTCGATGCTTTTCGACAGTGAACAAAATTCAAAGTAAGCTAGTGAAATGACCGTTTGTGAAGGTTGCTGATAGATGAAGTCTTGTGTGCTAGACCAATGCTGTTGCCGTTGCATCATTGCAGCAGATCGCTGATGTGCATCCTGCATGCTGCCGTTCATCGCTAGCATTGGTGCGTTCGACATTGAGGGTATCATTTCGTACGGTGCACAATCACCCGTTACAATACCACCACAGCCACCCGTAGCACTGCTCGGATATGAACAACTGAAATTTTTTGTTTCGATCAACTACTCATAATGAATCAATGAGATTTTTGCACCCCTCACATAGAACACGCACAAGGTTTACGCACATTAACAGGCATAAATTTAGCCCGATGATAAACAACAGGTTATTGATGTTATTTTCAATGCTGTCAGAGCAGCCTTATTAACGGCATAACGATAGTTCACCAATATTATCAGTATTCTGTTGATAATATCAGTGAAAATCGTGCTGATAAGTTAGTTCAGTTTTGTAATCGCTAGTCTTAGCAGCGGGAATGTTGTCAGTTTCGATTTTCTTCTGATTTTGACAACCAGATTTGATTCGGTTTCATCTTATCGCCGGCTCGCTCGCTCACTCGTAAAAAAGATTCCAATCAATCTCATTCGATCGCAAACATCAATTATGATCAGCAGATATGGCAATCAGCATATAGTATGTATTTAGAAGAGTCCATAAAACCGGTTCAACGAAATATCAAAACGATCAACCAAAACAAAATGGTTTTATGCACACATTCATCTCACATTATTGTTTGTACACATTTCTCCACTCTCAAAGCTCTTCAACTCAACTTGTTGTAATGTTTAATTTTATGTACATATAAACACACATCGCATATCCATCCCTATTAATTCTACATAAAATGGCAATTAATTCAACATCTCAATAAGTTGTTACACACACACTCAGGAGAGCTCTATGAATTATAAGTTCCCTCANGAATATATAAACGAAATATATCGTAAAAGTGAGAATGGCACATGCAACTTCATCTCAGCACGAAATCCGTTACGATTTCAATCGAGCAAGTCCCACTTACCATGTGGACATTTGCGTGCCGTACACATTGTTGCTAAGCTGCGGAACGGAACCGGAAGATGGCATTCCAGACGGTACAAAAGTACCGGTTAGAATCGGTTGAGATTGCGCCATCGTTGCTTGATGATACATTGCCGACTGAGGCAATGGAGCCGCACTCGTGGACGCAATACACGGGAGGCATTCACTGAAAACAGTGAATTATAGGTTTCATCTGAGGGATATTATTCTGACTGGAGAATCTCGATGGATTTGAATTGAACACGAGTGTCAGTTCATTCATCATTCTTTACTATAAAATATCACTGTTGTGATTTCTCAGTTCGTCACTAAATAATTGCAACTCAATCTGATTCTACAGTTGTTTTGAGTTAATCAGACAATTCAATTTCATTTCATTCTGCAAGCATGATATCCATCATCATTGTTGCAATTAACAGCTGAACTTTTCTTGTGCTCAGTATAGTTATAGTTGTTGTTTACGTCTTCATTGTTGATGCATTTCTCGAGATGAACGGTTCAGCATCTCGAGATATGCAAAAGCCTGCATCATAGAAGGGCATACAATTGTTATGTCTGCCATAGGTGGATAAAGCTGACTAGAAAGAGACGGAGCTTGTCTAGAGCTATAAGCGAGCTTGTTACAGATATGATAAGGAAAGTATATGAGGGAGGAGGTTATAAGTGAGATTATTTGATATCGATATTATACGAGGTTTTCATATGGATGGCAGTGGTTCGTTTCAATGACAGCGAGTGAGTGAAGCGATATGCAATGAATGCTTTTCATTCGTTTGCTAGCTGCCTTTAGCAATCCATAAATCCATAAGATCTGGAATGTGCACATTTGGTTACGTACTATCGCGCACACATGAACACACCCACATTCACGTTTCTATCGAGCAACTCAACTCTTTCGGATCTTCAGTATATACATACAGCATAAATAAGGTTTATCTGGGTCTCCAGCATATACACAGCACATATATAAGGTTCCATATATGCATACAGCATAGATAAGGTGTTTATCATCGGCTCTACGCATGTGCTCTAGGCTTTGTGTGACTCTTCTACGCGTGATACACACTCATCCATTTACACAACATATCTGATTGATCTGATGATGCTCATTGCCTCCTGAGCAGCATTAAAATTATAACTAAATGATATTGCAATCAATCAGCACTGAGAGCAAATCCACTGTTAGTCAACGAGAATCGATGAAATATCATCCAAAATAAGCGCTATGCGCAAATGAGATTTGACATCCTCTTGCAATGCTTTCTTTCTCTGTTCTTCCACACATCTGCAGCCTTCTGCGGTCGGTACGCAGCCAGACCAGCAGTCATCTGCACACTACTAAGTCTCTGAGACAAGCCAAAGCAAATCCACTGCATCGTTCATTATTGCCTTAAGCCAAACGCGCTCTAGCACTCCACCACTCCCTTTTATTCACCACATTTCAGTCGAGTGAAGCAGCCATACGTCTCTAGTCACTCCTCTTTTGAAACATCGTATTGACTGGAGCAGCAAAAAAATGGAAAAGTAGTATTCACTATATTATTCAGTCAGTTTCTAGGTTTATCAGGTTTACGAGCTTGGCAGTAATGTTAATATTCCCTTCGAACTAGTATATTTGATTCACTTACAGAGCGATTTTTTTCAAATATTAAAAGATTTTGTTGATATGGTGATGATCACAACGAGTTACAGCGATGGATTATAGTTGGACTGGTGCTTGAGTTCGTAGCTTGGTTGAGATAAGCATTGAAAATGGATGATTTAGATAGTGTTCGACGGTGGACGGGGTCGCCGTCGAGTTCCTCGATGGGGTCTCCGTTCCTCGACAATTTCTCTCGCCACTCTCGTCCATTTAGATTTTCGACGGATCCCCCTCGGCCAAAACTTTGCTCCCCAAGCAACACTAGGTTCAATCATACCGAGCTGAGGTATCCATCCATCCATAAAACAGAGAAATGGTTCTTCTCTGTGCGTGTCAGCCGTTAGTCTAATCTCGAATGAAATCCATCGCCATACATCCATCATGTTGATTATTGCCAATTATATTAGAGTCGTCAATGTATTATTCAAAATCAACTAGCACCAGCACCCTATTCGCCTCTGAACGCACTGTTCCAATCCCATAATAACCGTACTATTTCGACGGAAGACAATCTCCTCCTCTTCCCTTAGCCACCTCATCAAGGAATAAGCTTTCGTTTCTAGCAAACATAACTCGCTTATTTTAAAAATTCGTTCGTAAACATTCATTTCTGTCATTTCCTTCTACGAGTACGCTCTATTCATATGTTTATCCTCATTTCTTAAGAATCTTAGGAATTTTAAGAAGTATTGTCTGAGCCGTGTTCGAAGAACTAAATCAAATGACGTATATCTTATATAAGGATTTTTTATTCCTTGTACCTATTCGGAAAGATTCCTCGTTTATATAGGCCTAAATGGATGAACAGAAAGCACAACTTTTCTTTTCTTCATCGCTCATTTTTGCTTATTTTATCGAACTTCAATTCGATATTCAATGTAAAATGTCCACTCTCCTGCTGAATGCTTCTCATTCGCGTATTCGTCTGTTCATTTATTCATTCACTAAAACATAAGGGTGCAGTCACGCTTCTAGGACATATACACATCCATCCATCAACGAATTGCTATCGTGTGTTTTGGATCGGTCACCCTAGCAACACGTCGCATCGGTAACGCTGATTATTAAGAAAATGACAACGACAAATCTATTGCGACAGCTGAGAAACGATTTCATATCTACCGAATATCACCAGACGTTTCAGTCATTTTTTATTAGTATTCATAATTCTCAAGACCGTCAATTCCATTTGTGACATAATACTCGCCATATCAGAAAAGTTCCATATTCAATTGACTGTTCCAATTATTAATACAACCGCTCACATCCAAATATAACCAATTATAAATTATTCCAATAGCTGACCTCCGCCGGACGAAAAGAAAAAATCATCACTGTTCACGGCACATTCGTTAATCTTGTTCAAAAAAATATCTTCTCTTCTTAGTTCTAATCAAATCTGAATATTTCATTAACAAAACGATCATTTATTCCCAAATGCTTGATCCATTTCATTTGAAGCCTAATATTAATCTGACAATGTACCAATTCAGCGGTTTCCATCTGTGTTGTTGCAAACCTAATCAGGCTGTGCAAATCCTTTCGCGATTACTATGAGATCAGATTACTATGAGTGAAACATGACAAGACACAACCAAATGCGAAATTACGAGTCAACCGAAGACTGCGATTTGTGTTTGTTTGTCTGGAATGGAATCGATTCTTTCAAATTCATCAATTCCGTTGAATTGCTTAGCGTCGTTTTCGGCTGTCTTCTCACATCAGTTGCCTTCTCCTTCAATTCGGCACTCATCGTCGCGATCGTTGTAACAACGCATGCGTCATAAGTAGTATTGACAAAACTGAATGTGCATGAGGCTGAATATCACTCAGAACTAGTAAATACACCAGGAAACAAATGTGATATACTACGGAAGACAGGATATTCAACAGCAGTGAATGCGTTGTGTTTTAATAATCAATTGTTTGTTCCTTTATGACATGGAAATATCTATCATCCACGACAGACTGACCATTTATGGAATTCAATAAGTAGTATTAAGCAAACGAGGACGTTCTGAACGAGTATTGTTGAGATGCTTTAAGTTAACATTTTTAGGCGTATGAATTATGATCCGAGAAAATATAGTGTTCATCGAATAAAAAGTCAGTTAGGAACAGTACAGCAGCCAGTTGACTCAATAGGATAGCTAGATTCAGACTTAGACCGTGGAGTCAAGGAAAATGACAACAATATTATTATTACTATTATTATTATTAATATTACACTTGCACAAATTCAACATGTGTATTTGTAATGAAATGATCGTATCTGGATGATCGTAATGTGATCCGCAGATATATATCGATCGATGAAATCAATGCAGCAAATGCTCATAGCTAATCCGTGTTAAAGGTTTACTCGTATTCCGTAATGCTACGTTTTATTGTCAATGCATCTTCTCGTGGAAACGTGAAGAAAATTGAATTTACAGGCGGCGCTCGAAGCGTGTTTTGAACGAACGCAAATTGGGTGCTGTTATATGAAGAGAGCGATTAGAGTAGGCATCGTATTATAGAAGTTATTGATAATCTCATTAATAGTGACATCAAAACCACAACACTCGAATAAAAATGGATCAAGTGCGTATTCAAGCTGAACAACTTCGCATCGAAGCCCAAGTGGTCCGAAAAAAGGTCTCCGAAGTGTCCAAAGAGTATGTTTCATCGTCATCATTGCTATTACTATCGTTACTATTACATTCATATCAATTCGCAATATCGATATTATCATAATTATCAGTATTAAAGGGATTATCATTGAAACTATAAACATCTTTCATTCCTCAACAGCCATATACTAAAATATCGTCTGAGCTAGAAATTACTCTCAAAGAGATTTTATCTCAGAGCCTAGACTAATACCATTTGCACAGCTCCCACTTGGCCTATTACTTATATTGGGTTATTTGTTCTCTTGTGTTTTTTGTCTCATAACTACTGGAAAATGCAGCAGCATTTGTTCGTTTTTTTTGGTCATTTAAACGATAAAGCAATTTCAGTCTGATTGAATACTGTGAAAAGGAGAAACCACACGATATGTTGGTGAGTGGACCACAAGATAACCACAATCCATTTCAAGAGAAGAAGTCGTGCACGATTCTTTAGA